TGGGAACTTCTAAATCCAGCCAAATAAGTAAAGCTAGAAGTGCATGTGAGAAGGGGATACTGGCATTTCATTTCCCAGTCAGACTACAGCAGGTCTTGGTGACCCACTCCTCATACCAAGTGAAATAGGACAAAGGAAGATTGGAGAGAGATGGCGCTGGACCAAGAAAGGTTGGAAGTAGAAGAATCTGTAATCTTAATTTGGCATATCAAGGTCAAATAAGTTTTCTTTGGGCCAACAGGACAGTGTGAAAGATGACCAAACTTGAACCATGTTGTTATACCCAGCACAAGAAGGCTGATCACCAGGACCCTGGCAGCAGAGGCTGAGAAGTGGACCTCCATTGGCAGGAGCTGAGGAAGGGTTGGAAGAGGTCGGGGAACCAACCTCATGAAGATTTCACTCATGGTCCCTGAGAGAGACAGATAGCATCTGGACACCTGCCATGCAGAGGACAACCATGATTGTCATTAAGTACTAAAACATTGGCCCTTTTTTCTCCTCTAATTCCTCCTCCTATCCCTAAGAACAGAAAGGGCAAGAATCAGAAAGCATGGGACAGGGAAGAAAGAAAGAGCAGACTATGCCCTGAGCCAGAAGGAAGAGAGTGTTGAATTGGATCAGAGCCTAAAGTTTCAAATAAGGCCACACATTCTGATATCTGACAATGTCTTTGAGGAATGAGAAAGGGAGATTCAATAGAGTATACAATTATGTGCTGCATAATGACGTTTCAGTCAACAGTCGAGCACATATATTATGGTGGTCCCATGTGATTATAATGGAGCTAAACAATTCTTATCGCTTAGTGATATTGTGGTCATCATGATGTAGTGCAACACATTACTCACTATTTGTGTTGATGCTGGTGTAAACAAACCTACTGCGCTCCCAGTCATATAAAAGTCTAGCAATACAATTACGTACAGTATATAAGACTTGGTAATGATAATAAATGACTATGACTGGTTTATGTATTTACTATACTTTTAATCATTATTTTGGAATGTACTTCTTCCACTCATAAAAAAGAAATAAACTACAAAACAGCCTTTGGCAGGTCCATCAGGAGATATTTAAGAAGGCATTATTATCATAGGAGATGACAGCTCCATCTAGGAATCATGTGCCTAAAGACCTTCCAGTGAGTTAAGATGTGGAGGAGGAAGACAGAGATACTGATGATCTTGATCCTGTGTAGGCCTAGGCTAAAGTGTGTGTTTGTGTCATTGTTTTAAAAAATATTAGAAATTTAAAAAATTTAAAAATTTAAAAATAGAAAAAAGGATTATAGAATAAGGAAAAAGTATTTTGTACAGTTGTATAATATGCTTATTTTTAAAGCTAAATGTTATAAAAATAGTCAAAAGTTTAAAAAAATTTAAAAGTTTATAAAGTAAAAATGTTATGGTAAGCTAAGGTTAATTTATTATTGAAGAAAGAAAAAAAATTTTTTATAAATTTAGTATCACCTAGCGTACAGTGTTTATAAAGTCTACGGCAGTGTACAGTAATGTCCTAGGCCTTCACATTCACTCACCACTCACTGACTTACCCAGAGCAACTTCCAGTCCTGCAAGCTCCATTCATGGAGCAATACAGTGCCCTATGTGGGTGTACCATTTAAAAAATCTTTTATATTGTATTTTTATTAACTGTTCTATGTTTAGATATGTTTAGATACAGAAATAATTAGCATTGTGTTACAATTGCCTATAGTATTCAGTACATTAACATGCTGTACAGGTTTGTAGTCTAGGAGCAATAGGCTATACCAGATAGCCTAGGTGCGTAGTAGACTCTACCATCTAGGTTTGTGTAAGTACTGTGCACACTACAATATTTGCACAATGGTAAAATCACCCAACAACATGTTTCTCAGTACCTATCCCAGTTGTTGAGCAATGCATGACTGTATAGGCAATCGTGGTTTAATAAACCAGTTATATAAATAATATTGTATTATTACATCTCTGTAAACTTATCTGATAATTTCCTGAGGGCATAAACTTTGAAGAGGAATTGCTGGGACAAAGAACATGTGAATTTTTGAGCTTTTATGCATGTTCCCAGTTGCCCTTCCAGAATAATCATACAAATTAACACTCTCAGGAGCTTCATAAGAGATTGCTGGCTTCCCTGTACCTTAACCAACCTAATTACCCATTGTCTCTACCAATCCAACAGATGAAATATGGTACCTCATTGTTAATTTGATTTGCATTTATTTTATTACTAAAGCAGATGAATGTCTTTTCATAAGATTAATGATGATTTGTATTTCAAAGTAATTAAAAATTCTTATCTATTCTGAAGGGAAACAAAAATCTTGAATTAAATGCAGTTTGAGAATTAAAAAATTCTACACTAAATAAGAAAACTTTACAATAATAATAAACTTCTTTTTATAGAAAACTAGCGATGTTAAGTTGGTTGGGGCATGGTTCTTGAAAGCTGAAATCAGAGGCTCAGTCATTGTTAGGGAAATTTGCTTAGCCTAACAGCTGCTCTAGACAATTATATCTTACAGTAATGGCAAAAACAACAATAATAATCACAAATCAATAGCTAACACTGAGTGCTCACTATAGATCAAGCACTATTTTAGGAACTTATCTCATTTTTTTTCATGCACTCTAATAAGATAACATGTTACTATGTGTACCTATTAATTTCTTTTTTATTTATTTTTATTGAGGTACAATATACTGTACATAAATTTTAATAAATTTTTACATATTTATACACTTATGAAAACATAACACATATGAAGATATAGAATGTTTCTACCACTCCAGAAGGCTCCCTTGAACTCCCACTCGTTGACACTGCTTCCCAAAGGTAGCCACCTCTATCAACTTAGATCAGTTTTACCTGTTTTTGAGCTTCATATATGAGTAATCACACAATTTATGTTCCTTTGTGTTTGGCTTCTTTTTCTCAATATTATGCCTATAAGATTCATCCATGCCATTACATATGGAAGTTTTGTGGTTTTTTTCCCCATTTCTGGGTAGTATTCCATTGGATGAGTAAACCTCAATTTATTTGTCTATTTTGCTTTTGAACATTTGAAATGTTTTCAGTTCTTGGCCATTTTGAATAGTGCTACTATAGACATTCTTATAAGTGTTTTTTGGTAGACATAAATATTCATTTATGTTAAGTATATATACACAGCAGAATTGGCTGGGCCACAAGATATTCATGTACCTAGCTTTAGTAGATTCTGAAAACAGTTTTCCAAAATGGTTGTACCAATATATATTCCTATCAGCAGTGTATGAAAATTTCAACTGTTCCACATCCTGTCTAACACATGGTATCAGTGTTGTTGAATAAAGGTGAGTAGTATATCTAAGTTACATAGTGCCATAGGAAGCAGAGCACATTATGGGAAAAATTTGCTGAGAACCAATAAATTAGTTTTTACCACTGTTTCCTTAATGGTTGTATAGACCATTTAGGGAATGGTATTAAGGAGACCAGAATATGCCACTCCTAAATATGTCTCTTTAGTACAAGGCTTATTTTGAGAAACAGCAGCCACAGGAGAAGCTCTGAAAATAGTTAATATTTGTGAGGAGTAAGCTCAGACAATGAGGCCTAGGTTATGAATTCTATTTTATACTCAGGAGCATGGGTTTCTAAATCCATGCCATTTAGCACTGTGGACTGAAAAAAGGTGGGCCAGTCTTTACAAGCAAATCACTATAATTAGACAATCAGAGCTCAACACCCCTGGCCTCAAAGCAATGATTTTAATTTGTAATTTGCTGGGGGAGGATATTATTTATCTATTTGCATATTTTTATCATTATTATTTTAAAAGACTAAAATTTAAGATAGAGCTTTAATGTGTGTATTTTGCTTTCAATGAAAATATAATGCTTACTGTATAGTCATTTACCATTTGTCAAAAAGAGTCTTTGAAAAACCATGAAACTTGCTCAAAGTACCTACTGACGTCTTTCCTAGACAAGACTTCCAGAATAGAAAAGGAGCTGCAAAACTTGAAAAAATTGATCAGGATACCAAGGCCACAATTTTAATATTATAGAATTGTACTTTTTACTTTCTGAGGTTACTGAAGAATACTGCTTGCCAATTAATGCAATTAATTTTCCCTTTTTATACTTAATATTGTACTAAAAAGAACTAAACAGAAGCATGCAGTGAAAAGAAAAGTCATATTCTTTCCTGTATTCATAAGCACCTTGTCCAACATCTCATTATTGTTCCAAAAAACAAAGCAATGCCCATATTACTGCTTAACACTCCTTAAACAAAGTTAGCTCACTTTGATAAGGAATTCTGAAATCATTCTCTTCTGCTTTATCTTCTCACTTTCTGAATAATAAGAAATTAATGGGTGTCAGTCAGAGGACCTACTTTCTTCCACTTGTGCAGTCTTGTGAAAAATGAAGCTGAAAAGCCCATGGGGCTCTGCACCAGACAAAAAGAAAAAAACAAAACAAAACAAAACTACAAACCTGTATCTACGTAAATTGGTGCGCTGCAGAAGACTTCTTAAGCCTTTACCTCCTTTATCTCTTCCTTATCTACACATTTGATACAGTACAAGTGATAGAAATCACCAACCAATGACAGATGTTTTAAAGTTTAAAGTAGAATTCCATTAAGATACTTAACAGATTTGCAACATAAACAATTAATAAAAAAAGCAGCAGCACACAAGCTGCAAGATGAACAAGTCAATTCAGCACTTTGTAGTTCTTTGTGTAACAAAATGTTATGTACAGATACCAGAGCATCATCACTGCATTGTTGGAAAGAAAGGGGTATTCATTTGTAGGATAACAGGACTGTACCTATCTAAAGAAGCAGAAAGAAAAGGCCAATATTGCAGATAATGATCAGATACAGTAGTCGATTTGCTTCACTTTATTTTTTAGATGTTTTCCTGAAAGGGTATGCACAGAAAGATCTTGGAAAATATGGTAATAATTTGAATGCACTATTCAAAAGGTTTTATTTTATTTTATTTTTTTTTTGGAAAGCAGAGCTTTCTTGGCAATGCAATAATCACATACATTTTAAAATTCTGTAATCATATAGATTAGATTTGCTTCAATTAGGAACATATAAAATGAAAAGTTACATACCTGGAGAAGAGGTCAATAAATGAAAGAAATAGGGGTAAAGTGATTATATAAACGGAATATACATATCAGTCGGCTTCCCCATGGGAGCTTTAGCCTTCTTAAGTTCCCTACCAATACTCCAAATCTCTCATTAGCAAATGTCCCATCTCCTATTTCTTAGAGAAATGAGGAAGCTGGATGAGATTACCCTTGATGTTACAGTTCCTTCCATCTGTACCTATTTTCTTCATATCTCTGAGGAAAAGGTATATGCTTCCTTCCACTTGGCCTCCCTATCTTTCATATCTCTCTTTCCTATGGTAGCTTCAATTGTTTGCTTTCTATTAGATTCTTTCTGTCTACAAAATGCTGAAACCTCCACGTTCCACAAGTCATTTCCTGACTTGGTTCACTCCTGGAGCTTCCCCCCAACCCCTTTCTGTCTTCTCTCTGGTGCTGAGCAGGAAGTGAGCGTGTGAAGTGGGCCTTTCTCCTTCCTCTTCCTGGTCATCTTTATCCTCCTGCCAAAGCCAAGGGTCTCTCCTCAGTCTTCTCTTGCATTGGGCACAAATTTCTTCTTGAATCTTTTCCCCATAATATCCACAACACTTTTCCCCATTGATGTCTGTAACACTTCCCTTTCCAGATTCTCCTTCAGCCTCTACGTTAGCTCATTCTAGGCCCCCTTTCTCAGCTTCTATTCTTCTGTCTGCCTCTAAGTGTTGGCATTCCTTAAGGTCACACACTTGACCTCCTCTTGGGCATTATATGATCTAATTCATTTCAGTGACCTCCTCTACCACATGGACATAGATTCCTAAATCCAAGGTGAATTCTCTACCTTCCTCCCCAGTTAAAAACCCCTTTTCCTGCAATAGCCTATAGGATATTTATTTCTAGACATTTCACGGATATTTCCAAGTAGTCCTCACATCAATTAACGGCATTACCAGTTAGTTATATATTAACTGTCAGCAATGAGTCTTGAATTCTTCCCTGTTTATCTTCTTCATTTAAGTAACTACTAACATTTATTGATAGTATCTTCTATCTCTTCTGCCAGCCTTATTCACTCTTTCATTGAGCAGACATTTATTCAGCATCTACTTTGTGCCACTGCCTCATTTCAGGCCCTCATCTATTCTCTCTGGATTACCATAAAACTTCTTTACTCATCTTGCTACTTCTAGACTCTGAGCCTGCCTCCTCCCTCCTTCCCTGCTCTATGCTTTCGTACTCCTCTTCACATAATTATATTATGATCTTACATTAATTATAATTATTTATTTGCACTTCAAAATGATTACCAGGATAGAGACAGTCTTGAGTTCTGGAATCATGTCTTAATTTATCTTTATTCCCAGTATACAGAAAACCATAGGTGTGCAATAATTTTGTTGAAGTAAGGAATGTCCAATTGAAGGCAGTGCTTTCTAGCCTCACAAGTAAAAATACAAGAAAAATTCACTGCTAATAGCTGAATCATAACTAGTGAAACAAATATATATAGAATAGACATTTAAATGCATTTTAGCTGTTGATTCTGTAAATTACTCTAATCATTGTTGCCGAGGCTATATATTTGCAATAAATATTTAATGTGAGTTGAGGCTGAAACAATTCTCTTCAGAATGGATCTCCTTGAAATGTACTAGGACAGAGTCATAAAAACAAACACATTCCTTTGTGCCAGGTCCAATATCTTGATGTTTGATAAAATGAACAAATCTGCGGATTTCATTATCTCCTTTATTAAGATTCCTACACAAACCTACATATAGACAAACAATGCATGTCTGATAAAGATACAGCTAAGGCATGTACCATTAACAGAAAATCTAAAGCACATGTGAAAACAAAAATATCACCAAAATATAGCCATTCCTCTTTGCAATTAAACTGGTGTTCTGTTTTTTGGCAAGGTTTCTCATAGAACTATAGGTATTCTGTTTGGAGATTGATCAGAGGTTTCTAATCCAACAATCCATCTCTACAATACTCTAATACAGTCAGTTTTAAATTATGTCATGCTATATTCCTTTGAGTTATCAACAATTACATGGTTGATATATTTATGTATAATGTGCTTTAAAAAATTCCAACTACTATGACCTGTGGCATTATTTAATTTTCCCTACCCTTGGCAGGTACCAAGCCTTCACTCTTTTGGACCTAACTAGGGGCCCACTCTAAGGAGACTATGCAGACACGCAGGGGCTAGACTGCCTATGCATAAGAAAAGTTTAGGTAATAGATGACCTTCACTGAAAGTGTCATTATGAAGGCTTTATGTCTCAGTAATGGCACCACTCCTGACTAAATCCCCAAGGCACATAACTTTTCACCAGGTGGCCTGAGACTGACTCAGTGTACTAGAAGTTCTTTAGTCACCCATTTAGGTTTCCAGCTAGATATCTTATTTAGACTTGGTCTAATTCCAAGTGTCCTCAAGGGTTACCCAGAATAGTATAGTCTAGGCTGGTTTATCGCATAACACCTACTAGTTAGCTGGCTTGCTTTATTAGTCATAGGATTTCCTGTTGGAAAATTATTTCAATGCCCCACTCAAGGGTGAACTGCTAGGCTACCTTTGGAGACAGAAAAATTTTTCCATATGGCTTATGCCATTTTGCAGATGTGGAAAACAAATCAGAGCACTTAAGTCATGAGCCCAGAAACACCAAGTAGCCAAGGACAGACATGGAAATTAAAGCTAGTTTTTGAAATTCTCCAAGCACTAAAATATTACACATTGGGCCAATCCAATGCTGTCGGGCCCTTAGCATCCAGCGCCACATTACCATGCCTCCAGCTAAATTCCAGAAACCCTGTCTCTTCAAGCATGGCTGATGACTGTGAAGCTTGCTAATTCCTAATTAACTATGTTTATGTCTAATTTTCATATCTTGGCTTTTAGACTAATCCTGAAAGCAGGGAAAATTGTCTATAAATTAAAGTGACTCTTCTCTGAATCAGAATCTGCATACCCTTATCTTATTTAAAAAACCAAAAAGCTTATTCATTTTAAGTAACTTAGGACCCATGACAGTGAAGTAACTAATTCTGAAGTCCAAAACTGGCCCTGTGCTGTACTCACATCTGCCAGGCTATAGTCCTAACTTAGGATGTTGTTGCTCTTTCCATTTGAAAGCCTTTGTCAATCAGGTTCTGGCCATCGGTTCTGGCCTGCAGCGATTTTGTTCTTCAATAAAATGTCAGCAATTGCCCTCCTTGTCTGAGCACCACATGACAAATCCCCATTGTCCCTTGTGCCACTTTGTTGGGGAGCAGAAGCTGCCAGTCTCACATACTCAGATAAAACAGTGGCATCTCCAAATATCTGGAGATAAAACAGTGGCATCTCCAAATATCCCCATCTGTTGGGGAGCAGAAGCTGCCAGTCTCACATACTCAGATAAAACAGTGGCATCTCCAAATATCCCCACTTTGAAAGTGGCATCTCCAAATATCCCCACTTTGAAAGCTACCCTCACTGTATCAGTGAACTGGCACTGATATTGGTGAACCTGTCAGCTTTTCTGAGTGAGCATAAAAGAGGGCTTGTTTGCTAGAGTTTGAATCTAATGAACAGCTTTCTCCTATTCTGCGTAGTTTTCCAGACATTTGACTTGTACAATAGAGAAATCATATTTCAACTTCTTTGGGTTGAAAAATTGCCCCTTTTGCTATGTGTCACCAAGAGATGTGAAACAGTTATTTCTGAGGCAGCTTTATTATGGAAAATAGAATAAGTAACTCATGTCATTCAAATCAAGTCCCGCAGGGAGTAGGTCCAGTAGAGATTCAAAAGCCAGGAATAAGATTAAAAACTAATTTTCTAAGTGAAATGAGGAACAGGTTCTTTTTCTTCTAAATGAATGGCTCGTTATAGAGGAAAGACAGATTCACAAGGTACAAGGAAAACATTTGAATTCAGCTCCTTCCAACCTCCTTCCTCTCCAGATGCAGAGGTCAGAAAAGGGTTTTAGCTTTGATACTTCAGGCCGGGGGAGGTGCGCACTAACAATGGAAAGGTCAGCCTGAGAGCTAGTGAGGAAACTGAGTCTTTCTTCATCTAGTCAGGGCAAAAAAACTACCGTTAGGAAAGAAGCCTTTTGCCTTGGGTTGCTTCAGGGAGGCAGGTACCAAGCTTTCACTCTTATGGACCTAACTAGGGGCCCACTCTAAGGAGACTATGCAGACACGCAGGGGCTAGCCTGTCTATGCATAAGAAAGCTAGTAATCCTTTAAAAACATATTGCTAAAGGCCAATCATATATATATATATATATATATATATATATTTACATTTCTAATCTAGCATTTATTCCTAAATTCAATCTGCAGTAGCTTTATTATGAAATCAGCTTTATATTTAAGATCTATAGGTTGCAGGAGAAAGACTGTTGACCATAGAAAGTCTCCTTTAAAAAGTGACATTATTTTAAGAGGCCTGGGTACTCGAAGGAGTTTATCTGGGGTTTTGTATCATGCTAGCCAGGCTTCTTAGGAATATTGCTATCTGGAGACTTATAACTGTGTGACTGTGATCATGACAGCACTGAGCAAGAAATAGACATGAAATTGCATTGCAAACTGTGAACATCACAACTGTAATACAAAATAAATGGCTAAGAGTTTCTTAGCCATCCTATCTGTGCCCCATGATATACAAACCTCATCAAGGCATAAGAAATTGTTATAAAAGTAACATAGGATATGGAGAATAGAGAAAATAACCCATAATACTGTCATACTAAACAGGAGTTTTAACCTGGGCTCTGGGGATTTCCAAAGGGCAGATTAATTCAAGGGATCCAAGAACTTGGATAACAAAAAACATCTTTTTAAAAATTGATCTCAATTGCAATTTAGAATTTTCTTCAATTATAAATGAAAGCGACAAACTATAGCAGTCCTAGCAGTACCTGTAACTTTGTCATGAATACAAATCAGATATACTTATCAGACATTGCAGTTGTCATAGAATGCTTGAAATATTGTTTATACTCATCACCACTTCAAAATTATGACAGATATTATTAGACCCACTGCTAGACCTTATTTAATGCATTATTGCCATAACATATATCATTACAAAAAACTGACAATTGTATTTCAATATAATTGGTTTTCTTTGTATTTTATATTTTATAGATTTAAAAACACCTGGTCTGAGACCAAGCTTCACTAGTCAGTCATAGGAATTGATGGCATGAAAAGAGATTAAGAACCTCTGCATTTATGACCATCATTGCATTCTGCTTTCATTTCTGTCCTTACCCATCATTTCAACCACTCTCTTACCAACATCCTAAATTCCCTTTCTTGTACCCAAGTGTCCTTCATTGCATGAGTTATTTAAATAGGTATGCTTTCACATCTCAGGTCCTATGAAGTACTGGTCTCTCTGATGAGAATCCTCTTCGCCCCCACCCCTAAACCAGGGCCCCTGTTTGCTTGGCTAATGTCTCATCTGCAGCCACAGAGAACTGAAATCTCCTGCCCACGCCTACTGTCCTTCCCAGACGAGGTCAGTGTCATCAAGCTTGTCATCACTTGCTCAGTGCCTATCCTTCCAGACATGAAGACAAGACTATCATGAAGACAAGACTATCATGAAGATAAGACTCAATGTGTCTGATTCACCATCATATGCCCAGTGCCTGGCATGATGGTGGGTATTCAGTAGGGGCTCAATAAATACATTGAAACATATGAATAAATAAACCATTTTATAATTTTTGATTTAATATACTTTGGAACTTTTTAATTTAATATATTACTAGCTTTTTCCATGTTGCTACTTTTATTGACTTTAAAGCTGCATAATACAAGTATTTTATTTAAGTAATTCCTCTAGTACTAATGATCTTGTTTCCATTTTTCATTAATACAAATGCTACAATGGACATCTTAATACACAGTATTTTATTTTTCTTGCTTTGTATTTAGAATTATTTCCTTGATACAGATTACAGGAAGAGGAATTAACTGGCCCAATGGAATAAACATTATTATAGTTCTTAATTTATTCTATGAAGTTGCCTTTCAAAAGGGTTCTCTCAATTTAAAATACCCTAAGTAATATAAGCAAAATAGCTGCTAAGGATTTTTCAAAGTACTTAAGAAACCTTTTATTGGATATTAATCATTATGTCTCATGGGCTACTAACAGGATTGGGTAAAATTTTGGTTGAAAGAAATAAACAAGTAACTCTTCTGAAACTCAAAATGCAGTATATGAATTTCCACATTGAGTAAAATGTATTTACTTGTTAACAGAGAACTAAGAACAAATGTACTGTGCTAGGGAAGACAAGTTATTTTAACTTAGATATGGCCATTTTACTAGTTAAATGGGCAAAAATCATCATAAGATACTAACAGACATTCAAATATTTGAAGGAAAGAAATAAAATAATCTCTATTGTGATAAAAACTTTGAGCATTTATGTCATTTCATATCTGAAAGAAAACAAAGCATGTCTTTTCTAGAGGCTAAGTAATTAGTAGCCAAAATAAATACCAAAAATCATACACCAAGAAAATTTTTTTGCAAGAAATTGGAAATAAAATATATGGGGTGATAAGTTTTTCCTTTTTTACTGATAGAAATGCCAGCAAGAACTTGTTAGGCTGGGGCGTGTTTCTCATTTGGATCACACTCTCCTCCCTAATCCTTTCATTCCTGGCTCCAGGCAGGCCAGCTTCTCCACTTGTAGCACCCAATTTTCTCTCTCCACAGATGGGGAGATGGGATGTGTTGGGTCATCCCAATGTACAGCTATGTAGGTAGCTATACATAGAGCAACCTGTCAACCTGTAGAATAGGCATCCGGCTCACAGTGTCGTCTTGCTCTGTTCACATTCTAGGGAGGGCACCAGAGCCTCCCCTATTAAATTCCACTTACTGATATTCATTTAATATGTGCTGTGTGACTACTGTGTGCAAGATGGAGTGCCAGAAGCTTCCGGGGACATAATGGATAAGACACATTAACCAGTGGAAAGATGAGTATAAAGACATTTCCTCCACTACATAAAAAGGTAAGGAAGACCAAAAGGGTTCTTCCACATCTTAAGTGTCTCACTGGGACAGTCAGACTCATGAAGCCATAATGTCCTGAAATGAAAACACAAGTTCAAATAATTACTGTGTGGTAATAAAACAAACACATAAAAAGGAATGTAAGTGCAGGTCACTGTTGCATGCCGGCATGGCATTAAATGATTGTACAATCAAAATAAGGAAAGGGCCTAGATATTTTTTTGAACAAATGGTTGCTTTTTATGGCTACCATTTATTGAGTGTCTGTTATGTGGTATGCACTGAGCTGGGCACCTTACATTTATTAGCTTATTAATCCCAACAACAGCCCTACTAGGTATGTATTGGCACTCTCATTTTATAGATGAGGAAATAGAAGCTCAGTGAGCATCACTTAATGAAGGTAATGTGAGATTAGAGGCAAAGCTAATCTGTCTGACTTCAAACTCAAGCCCTTTCTGTTTAATACTATGCTATAGATAGAAAGTACATAAATGGTACTCAAGAATTATACCAGTTAGTAGATCCTTATACAGAGCCTCTCACAACCTATTTTTTTAAAAAACAAAACCAGTTGTAAAATAGGGTGGGGCGGGGAGGAAACAGCACACCTTTCTGAGATGTCAGACTTCTAAAAATGTCATCTAGTGAAAAAAAGTCTCAAACAGCTGTCAAAAAGCAAAAGCAGTAATGTCCATGAACCTTCATCCAAAGGTAGCATATCATGGTAGTACATTTGAGGGACTGTCCAGATGAGACTCTGGCCTTGAAACTACCTTCTAACTGAATGACTCTGGGCCATTGTTTCCCCTCTCAAGGTCTCACTTTCCAGTTTCCATCAGAACACTGTTATAATCATTAAATAAATTAGTATATATAAAATATTTAGCATGGTATCAAGCACATGATGATCACTCCACTACATGTTAATTATTAGTAGTATCAATGTTAAAACTGCTTTTTGTATACGTATAACAGGCTTGGCTCTGTTCTTCTAGAACATAGGATATTAGGTGCAGTATAATGGATGATGATGACAGCTGACCAGTGTAAGAGGCAGCTGTCATCTCTCAGTGATAGAAGAAAGAAGGGTAGCTAAATCAGATACCATAGGAGGACCAAGAAAAAAAAATCTGTAAGGACATCAATAACAGGCATTTCTATTATAATTTACATTTTGTGAAGCTCTTTTACAATCACTTTATTTGACCCATACAACCCTACTGTGATGTAGGGAGGGCATTATTTCCACTTACAGATGAGAAAAGAGTGGCTAAGAGAATTTACTGCCTTCCCTGGAGTAGCAGCTGCTCTACAAGAGCAAAGAGTACCATGGTTTTGAGATGTCCTATCCAATACAGTAGCCACTAGCCTTGTGTAGCTACTTAAAATTAAATAAAATGAAATATTCTATTTCTCAGTAGCACAAGGGATGTTTCAAATGCTGGAAAGCCACATGTGGCTAATCACACATGCACTGGACACACAGATTTTAGACCATTTTCTTGATCACAGGATATTTTATTGGACAGTGCTGGTCTACAGAAATGAGAGCACCAATCCACTACTGTGTAATATTATGCCTGAGGTGAATTTAAGTCTCAGAGAAAGGAGTCAGGGAAGAGGTATATACTTTCGAATTATTTCTGTGAAAATCACTTTAAGCTTTATACTATAAGGCTAACTTTGTGACTATAAACATCATCAGAATCAGACCCAGAATCCCCCAAAATGCCTAGCACATGAGCCCTACCCACAGAATCTACAAAGTAAGTAGCTCTATTTGATCATCCATCCATGTCAGAATAATATGTCACTGTTAGAGAATTCTTGAAGCAAATAAGTGGAATGTCATAAAAATATAAGTAATAACCTCTGTTGAAATCTCAAGGGCATGTATGGTAACACATTTACAAAATTATTCAGTGTACATACAAAGTCCTTTTATATTCCAAAATCTTTTTAATGCAGAAAGGTTGTAAATAAATGTAATCAAAATACATGAATCAAAAGACATAAAATAAATATGACTGAAAATGAGAAAAGTTTTTAATAGTGATATAAGCTTTAACAAGGAGAAATCCAAGGTTTTGCTTTTGGGAGTGGTTTATAATATATGCCCAGTAAATCATAAGTTAACAGATCTTTAATAAATCATAAATCAGTCTCAACTTTTGGTTCATTTTTTCTTAGAGTAACACTAAGAAACAGCTTTCAAAAGTGGAGAAATTAATAATAAAATGTTCAGCATTATTTCAAAGCAATATAAAATGCTCAAAAGTTTCAGAAGTTAGTTTCCTGAGAATGACAAACTCTTCACTACCTAAGAATCCTCAGCCTTGCCTGGACAGATGCTATTGTCAAATTCAAGGTGCATGGGCAAAGATGGAGGCAGTTCCATTTTTTAAATTGACTTCGAAAGTCTTAATGATATATGTACATTTCATGAAAATATGAGCCTTAGTATAATGGTCTGTTCTCTTTAGACAGATGGGACTCATTTATGTTCTACATGATTGTACCCCAGAACTTCAGACTTAAGATGTTTGTCATAAATATAGTTAATCTATTATTTTATGAGGGATATTAAATTTCAGCCTCTTGGATTTGGATAGATGTATGCCAAATTTATGATGGTGCTTGTCTATAAATGACAGATGCTGCCAAAGCAGAAAACTATCATTTTCTTCTATTCAATATCACAAGGTCCTGTTGCTAGAGACAGAAAGGGATGGAGAGGCAGTTAAGAAGACCTTGCTGGTTAATTGATGGAGTCCTGTGGGAGTCAGTGGAAATGAGAAGTTGTCAGTTGGAAAACTTGGCCCTATTTGTAACAACACATAAAAACTATGAAACACATAGAGTAACCTATAAAAATGACGAGGCGAGGGTCTCCATTTATATCTTTGGCAGGAAAACTCTTTGACAAAATTGAAAATACACTTTAATATGGCAATAGGGTGTCCATAAAAAGTGGAACTGTAGCCTTTCCAGGCAAATCATACTGATCTACTAGTTGATAACCACTCTGGGTTCACACCTGAGGAATTGCCGCCATGCAAAAGCATGCTGAAAACGAAAATGAGCAGTTTTGAGGTGTTCTCTTCTCTTTCCCCCCTTCTTAGGTCTTTTCTAACACTGTTATCTCACAGTCTCCATAGGTCATGAGTATGGGATTAAAAAAGCAATCTTCCTGCCCTCAGTGGAAATCTTTTTGATGAAATGATTCGAAGTTCTCCTGAAGATGTGCACAATGTTTAAGATAACCCACTGTACCCTTTTGGAGGCAGGGCAAGGCTTCTGCTATCTTGGCAGTGGCCTTTCCCAGTGTTAACCTCTGTCTTAGTGAGTATATTTGGCTGTAGACATGCTAAGCCTATGATTGTCAAGCTGGAGCTTTGAGAAACTTTGTTATTTGGCATTTACCTGAAATGAGTGTTTTTATTCAAATTTGCCCTTGCAAAGACTTATAACTTCTAAAGCTTCATTCTATAACAGTTAAACATTACAGACAATATACTACGTGGGAACTAAGGACTATCAACAAAACAAAGCCTTCTAATGCACCTTCACTGCCACAGCTCCTACCAAAAAGTATCAACAGTCAGCAAGCGATTTAAAAACAATAGATGGTCTACTCACTAATTCTTTAAAAAGTGTTTGAAATTGCCTACTGGAATACTTGCATTTGCTCCTCCAAGTCAGAGTTTGGAGGTAGTTGGAATTATGGAATAAGCATGGAACAAGAAACTCTTGAGTTCCCACTCTGACTCTGTTGGGATTTGAGTTGTGCGACTTCACATAAGCCGCTCAGCGGTTCCAAAACCCAGGTTCTTCATTGTTACTATATTTGAGGGAGTAGCTTGAAGGTGGTGACTATATATTATTTCTCTTTATATTCCCAATATGACAACATGGTAAAACGAAATCAAAAACACCACTAGGTTGGAAGTTCTTTGAGGGCAAGAAAATGTCCTTCTGTTCATTGTTGCACCCTAGAGTCTGGCAAAACATACAGATATACTATTTAGTATACATAATAAATATTTGAGTGAATAAATGGATATCAAGTTTATTGCATGAATGAATAAAAGAATAAAAAATGAATAAAAAATAATGAAAGATATTAATTTCAGCCCTACCCATCACAGGGTTGAGAGGGTCATATGAAAACATATCTGTGACTAGCTCTTATAAACTGAACAAATTTAAGGTGTTCCTATTGTCATATTTTAAGCAGAATATGCTGGGTCCATCATCTTTGTTCTTAACTGCATTTATATCTATGGCATTTTGAATCATTCCATATGCTTTTGTCTGTTTAGACAGCAACTGATTAAAGGCTGTTTAAATAGCTTTATGTACTTTAAACTAGAAATGTATTTTTCTGCATCTTGATATGCAACCAATTTTTTAAAAAATCCAGTGCTAAAACCCAGACATATGGACTATTAGGTTTACTATCACAATATTTTATCATTAGGTTGACTATAATAATATTTTATTATTTTAAAAAAATAGTTTTTTAAACATTCTATATTTTTGAACCTGTTATGAGTTGTTAACGGCTGTCACAAAAGAACCTTCAGTTTGATGTATGGGATGTATTATCACAGGGAAGTGTGTTGTCTTACGGCATTATGACACTTGAACTCTACGGGGAAATTTGGGTAGAGTGTCTGGCCAATATGTTCTAGACATCTTCCTGAAGCTACCTAATGCTTGCTGTGTTTTGACCCCAATTCTCCCAAAGCACATTTTCCCTACCTCTCACTCTGTTTCAGACTTCCACTGATGTATCATTAAAAGTTGGGACATATCCTAGGAGACCATAAAGCCATTTCTTTGGATTTTACATTTAATTCTACCTCAACATCTAAAAAGTAATGCGACAGCTATTGTTACTTGACTGCCTTTAATAAATATATTTAATTTTTTAAAATGATACAGTTAGAATTTCTTATAACAAATAAAATTTCTGCTATTGTAGTTTAAATTTATTTTGTTTACTTACCTGAGAGAAAAGAAGAAAGCTTTCCATAATACCCTGAAAGGTTTATATATGATAGCTCCATTGTAACAAATCTCTTTGTATTGTACAGATCCAGATGCAACATAGGCCAAATTATGTCTCCAAATATAATATAAAAGTGAGAAATGGTTATCCCAAGTGCCAAAATAGCAGGCAAGAAAGCTTCCCTAGCTTTTGGAAGATTGTTAGATCCCTTCTTAGAACAAATAATATGTGCTCCTGAGGAGCACAAAGAGGTCATCTGTGGGTTCCCTGTTCCTTGCCAGATACTCTGAATTCACACCTTGCCTTGACTGGCGTTCAGGGAATCCCAGGGTGCTGCTCTCCCAGAAGTTCCCTCCCTTCACACTCAGTTATTTCTTCTTCCTCAAAATTTGCTCTCATTGAACAACACTCTGTTGCCAAGCTATTGATGCTAAAACATGAGAATGGAAATTGAATTAGTCAATCCTATGGATGCTGTGAATGCCTGGATATTTGCAGTCTGGCAGCTGAGACATCAAGTGAGTAACATTTTCACTTTTCATTCAAATATCTAAGAATCACACAGATACTATGTAAGCCCAATTGACAGTAGCTCTTCATTCAGAAGAAAAAGAGAAATGCTAGGGAATTTCAGTCTCATGAGATTTTCCAAGCAACTATGAATTTTACTGTGACTGTTATTCTAATCTTTGGCTGACTCTTCAGAGGCAATGTTGTCTGAAATAAAACATTTCAGTTGATCGAGTGTCACAATCACCATTTCTCCTTCCCACTCCTTTTCCTCTCTATAGTCCGCCTAGACCTTTTATGAAGCACTGGTCTTTGTGTCTTCTGTTTTTCTAAAACAGGATTTTACATGAAATGAAAGCCAGATATCAACAAAAATCTAGGACTCTGACAAAGCTGTAGGAGCTTTTCAAGGATTTAGAAATAGGTGGTAGCATTTTTTAGACCAGATTTCCCACCTGGGCAAAACTTCTAATTTTCTAACTTGAAAATTCTATAAAACACATATGGGATAATTCTTGCTTACAATCTGGCATTCAGCTGAGGGTGATAAAAGAACATATATCTATTTAGCAAATACATCCCACTTTATTTTTAAATCGTGCCATCTTCCAACAACTTTGGCATTAGCTTTTGCAAATATAATAGAAGAAATAAAATATTTCATTAGTATTAATACTTATACAAAACATAGTAATTTGAATGACCCAACCAATGAATTATCAGTTAATTTATACAGATTTTGAATAAGGAAACATGGACAATGAGATAATCCCCAAATATAGGTGGTTTCTATCACTTCTAGTCCAAATCTGTATAGTCACATGGTGAGTGAGGTTAATACTGCTAGAGTAGGTACTGTGGGGATGAGTAAGGAAATGGCAGAGGAGGCAGACTGCAGGATTAAAGACTACCACATATCTACTGAAGAAGAGATGCTGTGGCTGCAATTTGTTTTCCTCTCCCTAATAGTTCTTCTAGATCTTAGTTCTTGTTCCTTGTTTGTATCACTACTATATTTGACCCTGGCATGTTCCAAATGCTCAGTGGGCAAACATACTGCTTAGGAAGTGTCTTTGTTTTACTGAGCATCTGCTAACATTTGAGTGTTTGAATAAGTGCCTTGAACTGTTACATTTTATTTCAACATATACTCATTGAAATTGGGCACCCTATAGTTATAAGCCATGCTATGACTATAACCCAGGATCCTTTATTTGGATTTTCTATTTCCATATTGTTCTTTCCTTGATTCTATCTTCTAATCTTTGACTTTTCCCCCTTACTTTCTTTTCTCTTTTTCTACACCTTTCCTTCTCCCTTTAATTATCTTATTTTTTTTTTATTGGGTCTTCCCTTATTGATCCTTCTGTATTTTTGTTTTTGATACTTTTTTTCTGCTCACTATTTTTACTACTATCCCTAGAGCAAACTCAATTGCCAAATAATAATATAACTACAGTGGAGCATTGAGCTCACTCAGTAGCAATGTTGGAGCACTTACAGTACCTGTCAATTGTTCTACTGGCTCGAGTCACAAAATAAGCCGATAGAGTGACACTGACTTCCATTATTTCAACATTTTACCTATACATTCTGCTGGAGGTAAAGAGCATAATTCAGGTTATAAATGCTTTGGCAGAGTATCATTTTATAGAGAAAATGATGTTCTGTAGAAAACGAAACCAGGCAGGAAGTTAGGAGATGATAGTTCCTGCTCTTCCAAACACTGTATAAACTCCAGCAAGTAACCGCCACAATGCGTACCCTACTACAGCTTGCAATTTTGTAAAATGGAGGTAATACTTGATACTGTAGCTGATAAATATTGGTTAAAGAGTAATTAGATAATAGAAGTAAAAAGTCTTTGTTCTTTAGAAGGGGAGAAGTGCTATATAATAATCCAGTATTTATTACTGTATCTGTTTATCAGATAACATGATTTAGTGATTCTATCACATAAAGAACAAAAAATCCTTATTACCAAATTTGGGTTAGCTCACTCTTTCTAGGCTGCAGAGCTTTTGGAATCAGCATCTAGGGGACCTAATCAATAATGGTCCCTTTTTACATAGTCTCTTTCAGTGAACAGGTTTTCTGAACATTCCTCTTACTGCAATGGATTTGCTCTTTTCCAAAAGCCCTGGGCAGCCATGGGAAAGCATTCTTAAGCCTTCTCCTCAAATTCTACAATGATTTGAAGAGCAAAAGATAATTAGAAATGTGTGTGTTTCCTGCAATCGAGAGGTCCCTATAGAGAAAGTCAAACATTAAGAGAAAGGGACATATTCTTTTAGTCTCTTTTAACAGACACTGTTCCTTAATCAGACACTATTCCTTAATTAGCCACTGAAACAAGATGACATATCCATCATGGGCCCTGAGGGGCAGATGTGAGAGTGTGAAAGTCTATTAACCATCCAATTTCATGGTATCCATGCTGCAAAATGAATTTTTTCTCTTTCCACTGAATGAACTTACTCAGAAATACTGCTGATTCACTGGGACTATGAAATATAGGTTCTTCTTAAGAGGCACTTCCAGTAGTAACCCATTTCCATTTATACATAAAATTCTTCTGTTAATCAATGCATAACTTTGTAAATAGTTCCCTTAAAATCTTTAAGTTCCTTTGTAACTCTGAGGGGAAATCCACAAAGATCTTCAAAAATCAAAATCTTCTATTACTAAGCACACTTCCAGACTTATTTACTAATGCCACTCTCTCAGAAAACTTCACCCTTTTGCCCTTCACTGGGGTAAGAGAATATAAAACACCTATTAGTAAACAAGTTTAAGAATTCTTGTACTTAAATATAGTAAAAAACCAAACATAAAAGGAATAGAAAGAAATAATAATTAACTCAGTATTTCAGATCCATTTCCTGATTTTTGTCTAAACACATTGTGACCAAGTAGCTTCCACTTATTTCCATGCATACATACTTTCAAGTATAGATATATATTTACACACATATATACTTAGATGTATATATTTAACAACATGGAATGGCAACATATCAAATGCTTAGATTCCGTGCAAACACATAATCCTTTTAGTGAAGGAAACATATTCATATTACAAAAATAAATCATGGAAAGTAACATGCAACAACTGAGGGGAGGAAAATGGGGGTTCAACGGGGGGAGTAGGAGAAACACAAAGAATGTAAAGAACAAAAAGTGTCATTGACCTGATTTGTCAGAGTTGTTGCCTGTGATTGGAGTGGCGGAGCAGCTGGGATTAGCCTTTGCGCTGTCCTTGGAAGAAACCATTTTGGGTTTATTTTTCGTTGCCTCTAGTGCTTTGACCTTCTTGGCATGTTTACTTCCTTTGTAGTGGGCCTCGGCCTGGCTCTACAAAGGAGAACAAATCAGGCTCATTTTTTGCTACTTACAAACACCACAATGGATGATCATGCAGGAAAAAAATACATTCAATCATAGATAGGCGCCACAGACATTTACGAGTCAGCACTTGACTAGGTTTTTGGCATTTAATGAAGTGGTAGACCAGTATTTGAGAGGTTATAGCACGTCAAAATCTTCTATACAACACAGAGGACCTGCATCTTTAAAAAATCCAGACATTAAGTAAGTGGACAAGAGGGTCAGGGAAAACTGTGATGAAGGTGAGCTTTGTCATTAGTGCCCTCCCACCAGTGCCCACTGGAGTTACGTTTCAAACATTTGGCTCGCATCAGTGGCTTTGAGTGTCCTACCAAAGCACGTGGGCATGACCTTCCACAACCATTTCCCTTTAGCTAAAACCCTGTCTCTCTTCTAGGCCCTACTCTGAGACCAACTGGTGTGACAAAACTATGTGTTAATAGATACTATTGAGTGGAAATGACCTGGCATTTTGGAAACATCTACATGTACTTCATGTGTCATTTTGATGACTCCAGTTCCAAGAACGAGAATGTAAGCCACAGGAAAGGTTAGGGATAATCCTTGTTTCTGATCTCAGATGTGATTTTGAAGTCAAAGCAGTTAGTGTTAAATTCATTTATACACAAAGCATATGTAGAACTATATCTATAATACTAGATCAAAAGGAAGAAAAAAGAGCAAGACAAAACACAAAACAAATACAACAAACCTAGAAAACATTTAGTCAATTTACTGACATTTGGAAAATTCCCCTATGCCTAAACAATAAGGCTTTTTATCCTTTTGGCATCTAGTACTAATGTACACATTAACAAAAGAATCTAAGTATAATCATTTAGGTTTTACCCTGAATAGACTCTGAGATTATATAAATATGCATTTGATAAAAAGAAATAAAATAAAACATATGGTATATTAGCTTAGGTATAAAAGTGAAATGGATGATAAACCTCAGATAAAAATGAGGAGATTTTGTTAGAGGATTTCTAATAAAATAATAACTTGTTTTACATCAATTTTCTTTAATATACTTGTATGTGTTTGAAAATGATTATATGAACTTTTCCATCCATTTCTCTGATAGGTGTGTGTGTGTGTGTGTGTGTGTGTGTATGTGTGTGTAGGTAGGTACAAGTGACAGTGGACAGAACAGGTTCTCTGTCTTTAGGGGCCATCGAGGCTTCACACATACATGAGATAACAAGAGTGATTCAGAACTCTCCATGTGCAAGGGTGAGCTAAAATAGCAAAGCATGCATGTTATGGGAGATATAGAACAACCAAAAAAAAAAAGGACCAGAGAGGAGTAATGTTAATGAAGATTTCCTAAAATTGGTAACTTTTGATTTGAGATTTGATGAAAGAGATCCATGTAAATTGGTAGAGAAAGTACATTTCTGGTGCAAGGATGCAGGCATAAGAAAGGACTGAGGCTGGAGTGCCAGAACAGTGAGGGATATGGCTGGACAGGCGCTTACTTAGGCCTCTTGGTAGAAGATCTTCAATGGGAGGCCCAGGAAACCAAATGTGTGGCTATGTGGAGTAGACCACCATTGAGATGAGATTCTCAAGCAGAGGCATGATGATAAAAATTCCAAATGGGGAGGATTTCTACAACAGCTATTTCTTACATATTTGTTTGCATAGTAGAGAAAAGAGATGAGACAGACAGCAAGGAAGCAGGGAGAATATGGGATTCTTTTGGTAAAATCATGAGTAGAAATTATGAATATAATAAAAAAGTCCTAATTATAATAATACTGATTTCTTGAAACCTTGGTTATTATCATTCCTGCTTCTGCCCTTTGCTTAAATAAAACCATTTCTCTGCCAACTACTAGAGATGAAGCACATTTCCAATATGCCACAATCAGACTAAGCCATGTAGGGCTGATTTTTGTGTCTTGTTGGAGTGTTTCTTCTGACTTCCAAGCTTGTTCCACTCCACCTCACCAAGCGCATATTGCTTTGCTGGCCTCAGACATCCAGCCATACCTGGTTTAGCAGAACTACTGATGGTACCACTTCAAGGCCAGTATCACTTCCAGATCTTGGTGGGGGATGATTCCACTTTATCCCAAGCTCATAAATTATGCTGATGAAGTTGTTCATGTCAAACATTATGGCTGATGCAATCACAGTGTCAAGGGTCATGCAGTGAGTTAAATATCACACTCATGTATTTGCTGTCCCATCCAAGCTGGAGCTTTGTGATAGATTTCTGTCACAGTCGGTTTTTCAGTGTTCCTTGATTCTACTGTGTTATTTCTTGTGGGGTGGGAGGCAGGAAAACAATATATTGCTGTGGTAGTAGTGCAATCTAGGGATAGGTTTTGGTTCTATATTACAACTAAAGCTATATTGGTGATTTCTCTAGTACATAACTCAGAATACCCAAGGTCTATAACCTTGTACTGACTATACATAGTACCTAACTTCCTGAATATCTTTTCAGAAATATCTTTTTAGATCTTCATTGACTTATCATTGCTCTTACTTGGTTTGCTCAAGGAGTTCTTGTGTTGTTTTCAGACTGTCAAGTTGAAAAAAATCCCAAGGGAGGAGAAAAGTGTAACATATTTTAAGTCCTTTATTTTTTAACAACTGAGAATAGGTAAATCCAACTAATATAGTTGGGTAATTATAAATTAAGAAACTATGCAAATAAAAATTCAAAATTTGATAATATGAAGTAAAAATAATTATTATTATTGAGCACTGTTTCAGGCATGATTCTATGTGTTTATGTATTTTAGTTCATTTAATCCTCATAATATCCTAGGAGATAAGTATTAATAACCAGCACTTTACAAATGGGAAACTAGGCATAGAGAAGTTAAATAACTTATCAAAAGTCCACACACATAGGTGTAAAACCCATAGTACATATGAAATGTTTATGAGTATTCCTATTTAATTATATAACCACACATTATAATACACACATACTTACACTAAGTTAACATTATAATTTTATTAGAAGTGAAAAATTATACACAAAGAAATCATACTGCTTTTAATAACTCAGAGAAGGATTATAACAATACTACATAAATTTCTATGAATAGGAAATATCTACTTAGTTCATGAGAAATATAGTAGCATAATATATTAGGTCTGATCCTTCTGAGAAGTAGCTAAGAAAGCTCTGCTTTTTAGGTATACAATAATTTCTACAAGATATCAGGAGACCTTCTAAAAACTCACTCACTTTTCCAAGGACACTAAATAGTGCAGTGTTACTTTAGTGCTCTTTGGCTAAAGAAACATGGTTCTCTAAATAAAACCTGCGAATACAAGATAAGCAGAGTTTCTTTCCCCCATTACTATTTCCTGGCATCACTACAGAAAGTTAACAGCATCAATTAACACTTGGGATCCAGCTAAGTGACACCTCACTGGATGCCAAGATGGAAAGAACTCTTCTAGCTATTACCCACTTTCCCTTTGAGTTCTGGGGCAGGGGAAGAAGTGCAGCAAGGGTTCTTAGCTTCTACTGACTGTCGTTTGGGGAAAAAGGAATAGAAGATTGTGAAATAAAGACAGAGTGGCAACAAGCACCACTCACTCATATTTGGCATCTTTCCAATTCCCCTGTGGTATTCCTGGTAGTGGCACTTTGCTATCCTCAGTACTGTATCTGAGGCAGTGTCAACAGCTTCTAAGTCCTGGGCAAATCTTCAAGTGAAACTGAGACACTGCTAAATAGCAACAAGATCAACCTGACTTTATTTTCTAGGAATCTCTTTAATTGAGTAGTCAAAGAAACAAGGACCAGAGCCAGAAAGCCCATGAATTGGGCAATACACATCAAGCTCAGTCAATAATGGTTCTTGTACTACTTCTAAGAGACTTGATTGGCCAAGCTGACTTACTTTATACCCCCATGACAAATCAGCAGACATGTTTGCCTAGCATAGATGGCTTGCTTTCTGCTTCCCTCCTACAGTGCTGCCGTGCCCCAAACTGGTGGTGATCAAAGAAACTTCTTGACAAGAATTGCCAGAATTAGAAAGAGTTGCCCAAATTACCATGCTGACCTTCACATAAGAATTCATCAGTATTTAGGTTCTTCTCTCAAGGCCACTCTGATAGTTTCCACTGGCAAGAAATGACATCATGGAGTTTTTTCTTCCATTAGTTAGTAAAGCCCTTCACTTTCCCAAATCCTCAACTCTCAGGACCTTACCGGTCCAAACAAAAAGATAAAGAGTGAAATAACTTATTTCTTTAAGAGCAAAAATGTAACAATCCTGAGAAATTTTAAAATTCACTGTGCTCTCATTTCTGGTTTTTACTTTATGTCTAATTTGGACTTTAGAAAGGTGGCTAGGATATTGAATTTTGACATTAAAATGTGTTAACTTTGTATGGAAAGAACTTTCCAAACACACCAACTCACAAAGTAGCAATGTCCCTTGAGAAAGTACTTAACTATCTATTTATCAACATAATCAATCTTTTTGCATTTTCAAAAGTAATTAGAATTAGTAATTTCTCTTCATTAAAGAAAGTGCATCAGTAAAACTACTAGCATCTGTTTTTTTTTTTCCTTGAGACCCTACATTCAATGTGTTAGGCAGTGTTATAGGGGAAATAGCAGAGGTCAGTTAATTTTCAGGAAAACACTATACACTAAAATGCCAAATAAAACAGATGTCAAATGAACTACCATAAAACAAGCCTAACTAACAAGGGAGAACATGATTATTTATTCTACAAAGAATTATTTAGTACCTGCCATGTGCTAGACATTGTAAAAGATTAAAAAAACAAAGACCTTCACTTGCAAGAATGGAGGTTGGAAGAAAAGACAGGAATACAAATAGCTGTAATCCAAAGCAGAGGGTGGAACTGTAAAATGGGAGGTTCAAAGAAACAAAGAAATGTGGGAGCCAGAGGACAAATAAATCTCTTCAGATTGGAAGAAATCAAGGAAGCTTCATGAAAAAGGGGTATCAGAG